CCCCAAAACCCCAAAACCCCAAAACCCCAAAACCCCATAGATATTATCCGAAATTGATAGAATCATTTTCCATTTTATGGGACACACTCTGGTCTATTGATTTCTTACCCTTGCTCAGTTTTGACATAATATTATCCAGAACTTCAAGCCTTGCTTCGTCCTCTTCATCCTCATCACCATCTAGACTATTAAAAACACAAACTACTCCATTCCTCTTCTTCACTCATAGCCGCACTATATCCAAATTGGTAACCCTTAAAATCTACTGGCTGAAGCCAGAATTGTCCAATTTTTCATACGCCCAAGGCATGAACCCTTAATCCTACCTCTTATGACTAACAATAGCAAATCTGGACCACCTGGAAACACTCTGTATCGTACTCTGCCTCATATAAGTCTTGATTACTTTAAAATTATTGGTTGAGGCTTTATCACTTTTATTCTCATCAAACTTATTCAAATCAAGCAATTCGTTCCTAAAACTTCACTTAAACTCCTTACGAGTGTGCTATTGATGATTCTTCGACTATAATATAGCATTAAAACCTCGTGAGCATTAGCTGGCTTACCTATTTCCTTGCCTAGTCTTGGCACTTCGTCTACCTTAATCTGGTACCTACAGATAGTTCAAACAATTGGTCCGGTGGAAGGAAAGCCAAACAGTTAGCTGAAAATTTGTAGATGGGAAATTAATAAGGGGTTCATTAAAGAACTACTTTGGCAATCCTCAATGGTGGCAGGAATTAGAGAATGAACTTTTAGCATGATTAAGAACAAAATTCTCACGTTTTAGTATTTTTCTTAGCCTCGATACGGTCCTCTATGATCTTTTTAAGTTCAAGTAAGTCTTTCTCTTCCCTAATAAGGGTAACTAACTTCTCATGCATCATCATCCTATAATCTTCAGGAGACATCATTCCTGAACTATGTTGGAGCCCAGCCATTGTTTTGGGGTTTTAGAAATTTAGATAATTTTTATAAAAGCTCAAGGTTATCAGCCAGAAATGGGGTTTTGGGGTTTTGGGGTTTTGGGGTTTTGGGG